TAATTCAAAAATGCGCGCGAATTTTTCGGGAACAGGAAAGGAAATCAGAGCAAGAGAGACAAGAGATTGTTTTTATTGTAAAAGAAAAGGACACATAAAGAAGTTCTGCAGAAAATGGATCAAAGATGGAAAACCTGAGCATAGTGATGTAAACAAAGAAAATGAAGAAAATGCATATGCTTTCGTGTCTCAGAAGATAATAAGAAAGAGAAACAGAAGAATAATCCATTAGATGGCGAACAGATTAGTTACCTCCTGAATCAGAAGATAGAAGATGTATGGTTGACCGATAGTGGCGCTTCTAGACATATAACCTTTCGGAAGGACTGGTTAACAGATTATCGATCGAGTCATAATGAAACAGTGTGTTTAGGTAACAACGGCGTTTGTGATGCTGAAGGAACCGGAAGTGTTATGATCGAAAAGTTTGTAAACGGCAAATGGATGCGCGGCGTTATTGAAGATGTACTTTATATTCCAAGCCTTAGAAAGAATCTTTTTCCCGTAGGTGTTTGTACGTCAAAAGGCTATGAAATGCAATTCAAAGAACATAATGTAGCAATACTTGCAAACAATAAAGTGGTGGCATTAGGTAGAGAACAAGATAATAATATTTATCGTATGTTCTTTCGTACAGTGAAAACACCACTAACTGACTCTAGTGAACTCAATTTGTTGGTCGCGGACTTAAAAACATGGCATGAACGTTTAGGACATGTGAATCAAGAATCTATACGTCAGATGGCTGAAAAGGATTGTGTGCGAGGACTTAAACTTAAAGATAAAAGCTATTCTTTCTGTGAAACGAGTGAGTTCGGCAAATCGCATAAGCTATCTTTTGCGAAACGAGATTCATTGGAACGGTCCAGGAAAAAAGGTGGATTTTTCCATAGTGACGTGTGTGGTCCGTTTTCAGAAACGTCATTAGGAGGCGCGAAATATTTTCCAACATTTAAAGATGACTTTTCCGGATACTGCATAGTATATTTTATTAAACACAAATCCGATGTTTTTGAACGCTTAAAGATGTTTGACAGGCTTATAAGAAATCAGTTTGGACGTTCAATTAAAGTTCTTAGAGTAGATAATGGTAGAGAATATTTGAACAGTGACGTCAAGAATTATATTAAGGTACAAAAAGATTCTATTCCACACGATACAAAAATGAATGTAATTTATAAAATAAAATGCAATGATTGTGATGCAACCTATGTTGGACAAACTAAGAGAAAATTGATAACAAGAGTTAACGAACATCGTAATCATATACGGAGGAATACTTCTTCCAAATCTGTTATCACGGATCATAGGTTGGATCATAATCATGAATTTAACTGGAATAATGTGAATATTTTGGACTGCGAAAGTTTTTATCATAAACGATTGATATCAGAAATGCTTTACATTAAGACACAAAGTAATGGTCTTAATTTAAAAACAGATACCGATGGTCTTGATCGCTCATACGCTGATATTTTAGACAAACTAATAAACATTAATTTGACCTAACTTGTTTGTGGTCAGTAGGGGTAATATGGGGATTCGAGATACACGCGTGTTAGTGCGTTGTGCGTGTACGTATATGCGATACGGTGTGTGTGTGTGTGAGGCTATGGAGGGGGAGCCGGGCCGCTGCCCGCTGCCGCCGCCGCCGCCGCCGCCGAAATGTTTACGCAAACATTTTTTTGTCATGAGATGCAACAGTCCCTTTCTTAAATTCTTTGAAGTCCTTTTTAAATAATAAACATCAATAAGAATTATTATCGAAAGGTTTCGGTGACACGTTCCGACACGTTCGAGCGCCGATGGTTTGGCTGCTGAACGAAACAGGAAACGAAACTCCAAAATAAATATTAAATAAATAAATATGCGTTCTCATATCGGCTTCTTTTGCAATAAATTTTTAGGAAGATCGGTGATATGGAGAGGTTAGTAGGGATAGGCAAAGGATAAAGAAGTTGTAAATGAAATACATAACGAATCGTAAGCACGCTGTGTCACAGTGGATGTCTTGAGCTGATCGTGTTAAGTTGTGAGAATATATATTGGACGTAGTGATCAACGATATTCAAATTATGGATCCCGAAGATGTCGGGAATATCTCGTGGATGAAGTGTTGGAAGATGTGAACTTCGAAGATGCGATGGACATCGAATCTTCCGACGAGAGTGTATTATCGGACGATACGGGTTGCATTAGTGATCTGGAGAACGATACGGATCGTTTAGTAATAATTGTGCCAGCCGAGCAAATCCGGGCATTGAATTCTCACGTGAAATTTTGTCAAATTCAATGTTATTACACGACAGGTGGCGCATTTGCGGTATGTACCGAGTGTATGGAGAAAATCGCGGACGCTGACGCTGGTGGGATGTTGGTGATAAGGAAGCATGACACTGATTTCACCGATATGTTTGAAGCTCGGACGTGCTCCAATTGTCGGGAACTGATGCGCCAAGTATACCCGTGCAACGCATGTCCAATTTGTACTGTATAAGAAAATAAAATGGCAATCAATGAATCATCACATCGGTTGCTGGACGAAGATTGGGACGATTATTTTGAGTGTGTGAACAATCTTGTTGAAGACGATGTTGAAAATTTGTTGAGAAAGGATGTGCGGAGTAATAGTTTTAAAATGGAGTATTACGGATTTATGGAATTGTGGTTGGACGGACATACGGGATGTAATGACAACCTTGTTGAAGAAGTGAAAAACGTTCTTGAAAATCCGCAGGACTATAGTGCGTGGACATCGCCGGTACGTGTAATTCGCGATCGAGAAATAGATGGTGACCGCATCGTGAAAAACGTAATCGTTGACACTGAACCGGCATACGAATGGTCATCGCTCGCGCGACGGGAAGTGTACGCAGGATTACGAGACGAGTGTATGAACTGGCAAAGATTAACGGACGACAATTATTGTTGTGTAGGACGTAAAATCGAGAGTAAACTCGAACATTCGTGTAGATGCATCACAATGGACACGTACAGTGGTAAAAGGGCTGAACTCGTGATGATAGACGATATAGGTGTCCCATTTTAAAACCTCCACGCGGTTATTTCAGAAAGAAGGCGTTTATCGAAAAAATGTTTCAGACAAAAGTTGTTTGACTCGAAGGGGGACATAAGGTGGTGCCATCGATTTGATCTTGGATAGTCCTCTGAAGGTTACGTGAAGGTCACCTTTAATTTTTTAAATGGAATTATGTAATTTTTTTTAAATAACGTCATTCCTCTAATTATTTTGCATATAAAAGTGTTAAGGTAGAGATACCAAAAAACCAATAGTTTACGAGATATTTTACATTTTATTATGGTACATATTGACGCAAAATGTTAAATAATTCGTAAACTGTTCACTTTTTGATTATCGTACCTTTATACTTTTGTAAACAGAATAATGAGATAAATCAAATGGTGTAAAGAAAACACATAGTTGCTTTAATAAAAATGTATGCAAAATGGATAATTTTTTAAATACTCAACTATGTGTTTTCTTTACACCATTTGATTTATCTCATTATTCTGTTTACAAAAGTATAAAGGTACGATAATCAAAAAGTGAACAGTTTACGAATTATTTAACATTTTGCGTCAATATGTACCATAATAAAATGTAAAATATCTCGTAAACTGTTGGTTTTTTGGTATCTCTACCTTAACACTTTTATATGCAAAATAATTAGAGGAATGACGTTATTTAAAAAAAATTACATAATTCCATTTAAAAAATTAAAGGTGACCTTCACGTAACCTTCAGAGGACTATCCAAGATCAAATCGATGGCACCATCTTATGTCCCCCTTCGAGTAAAACAACTTTTGTCTGAAACACTTTTTCGATAAACGCCTTCTTTCTGAAATAACCGCGTGGAGGTTTTAAAATGGGACACCCTATATATGTACACGGGCACAATCGTTTTGATGATTCGCATCCTATTGTTAAGAGACTGCGCGAACCGTGTGACGCTAGATGCATGGAGTGTGAAAAGTGCATCGTCTCTCAAAGAAACAATGAAAAAGTGAGGAGCCTATATGACATTGTGTATTTAAAGCGGGCTTGCAAAACGTGTGAGCAAATTACGTGCAAGTGCGCATAATAAAAATTTTCTAAAAAAAAAAAAATAAGAATAAAAAGAAATGAAAAACCACGAGCGAGTGGAACGCGAACTGCTGGAGCAGTGCGGTCGCGTCGCTACCCTGGCGGAGTGTTTCACGTGGATGCAACGATGCGACGAGTGCATCGAGAGCTTGGAGGAACTATGTAGCGCCAAGCGTCCGCGTCTTACCGTCGGGCACAGACAATCCGCGGTGGCGAGGATCGCGCGACTCGCGGGTGTGAAGGCGCAATTGGAACGACGATTCGTGCACGTGGGTGGTGGTGGTGGTGATCGCGAGAACGATAGATCTCTCGTCTGGCGCGAGATCGACGCCGCGTTCGAGAGGCGCGTTCTAACCGGTGCAGTGATAAACTTTGAACATATAGAGCCGCGTCAATTTTTGGAAGACACCGGTAGTGTAGTGCTCGAGCGTGTGCGGGACGCTATAGAGAGACACGGTAGCGTGAAAGTGAACACCGCGTTCAACGGTGAGTTCGTAGCGGGCGATAAACGCACCGTTATGAGCATAAACACTAAAAATTGTGAACTGTATCCAATGTCGAATGTGCGCGATTGGTACGTGTCGCGTGTTATCGAACCTACGTTGGCGTCGCTCGAAGAGTACCAGGAGCGCGACAGCGGGTGGGCGCTCTCGCGAATCCTGAACTTGACAGTCAATGTGAATAAACTGAATCCCATGCACGCGGGATGCTACGTCAAAGTGCCGGAAAAATTTAAAAAGAAGGAAGCAATGGTCAACGTACAATCCATGGACAATAAGTGCTTCGCGTGATCGGTCGTCGCAGCTCTGTACCCAGCTAAAAGTAATGTGAATCATACATCGTCGTATCCGCATTACGCAACGGTACTGAATCTCGATAGCCTTGAATTTCCGATGAAATTAAAAGATATTGCAAAATTTGAACGTCTCAACGATGTCTCGATCAACGTATACGGTATCGAGAATAATGAGATTCTTCCTCTCCGGCTCACCGACGAAAAGAAAGAGAGGCATGTCAACATGCTGTATCTGCAAGACGGCGACAATGATGGTCATTTTACATGGATTAAAAATCTGTCCCGACTCGTGAGGTCACAAGTCACCAAAAACAAGAATAAAATATTTTTCTGCGACCGGTAAGTACGCAATAAGTAAAAATAAAATATTTAAAAAAGAAAAAAATTATACTAATAAATTGTTATGTTATATTTTTGCAGATGTTTACATTATTATTCCTCCAACGAAAAATTGGAGAGCCACGCAGTGGACTGTCAAAAACTGAACAAGTGCGCTATTCGCCTGCCATGCGAGGACAAGAAGTGGTTGGAGTTCTGCAACCACAGTATGAAGGAGCGGGCGCCTTATATCGTCTACGCTGATCTCGAGTGCGTCTTACGAAAGATGGAAGACACCGCAGCATCGTCGTCGTACGCGTACCAACGGCACGAGGTATTTAGTATAGCGTACTACGTACACTGCTCGTACGACGATACATTATCGACGTATCGATCTCGGCGCGATAACGACTGCATCAGCTGGTTCGCGCGCCAGCTCGAGGATTTGGCGCACCGCGTGAAAAATATAATAACGACCAACCGGCCTATGGATTTCACGCGAGACGACTGGCAGAAATTCAACAGTGCGACGCACTGTCATATCTGCGAGAAACCGTTCGCGCCGGGCGACGAGCGGGCACGCGATCACTGTCACCTCACCGGGCGATACCGCGGTCCAGCGCATAAGGGCTGTAATATAAATTATAAGGATTCTTTTTACATACCAATTGTATTTCACAACCTATCAGGGTACGACGCGCACTTTGTAATTAAAGAAATAGCTACAAAATTCAAGGGGCATGTAGATCTACTTCCTCTGACTAAAGAAAAATATATTTCGTTTACGAAGCATGTTAAAGACACTAGCGATAAAGATTCGCGAAATTGTGTTAAATTAAAATTTATAGACTCGTTTAAATTTTTGAATGCAAGTCTCGACAAATTAGCGTCGTATCTCGATAAGGATAAATTGAAAATTGTGAGATCCGAATTCTCACATATATCGGACGAAGATTTCAATCTACTTACTCGTAAAGGAGTATTTCCGTACGAGTACATAGATTGTGTCGAAAAACTGGATGAGTTGTGTTTGCCGCCGCGCGAATCTTTTCACAGCTCGCTGACGGACGATACCGTGTCCGAGAGTGATTACGCGCACGCCGCGAACGTATGGCAGCGGTTCTCCGTGCGAACGCTCGGTGAGTACAGCGATCTGTACCTGAAAACCAACGTTTTGTTACTGGCTGACATTTTTGAGAATTTTCGCGAAAGTTGCGTCGCGAGTTACGGTCTCGATCCCGCGCATTACTACACTTTGCCTGGTTTCACGTGGGATGCCATGTTGAAACACACTCACGTAAAATTCGAGCTGCTCACCGATATAGATATGGTTATGTTTATCGAGCGTGGTATACGCGGTGGCCTTAGCCAATGTTCCTACAGATATGCAAAGGCTAATAACAAGTACATGCGTTCGTACGACTCATCGAAACCATCGTCGTACCTGATGTATTACGATGTCAATAATCTGTACGGATGGGTGATGTGTCAACCGCTGCCCTACGCGGATTTCCAATGGTCCAAGGCGTCGCAAACTTTGACGCGAACGTGATCGCTCCGGATTCGCCCACCGGTTACATTCTCGAGGTCGATCTCGAGTATCCACAACATCTTCACGATGTGCACATTGATCTACCGTTTTGTCCGACGCGCGATAAGCCTCTCGGCAAGCGCGAGGATAAACTGCTCGCGACTCTGTACGATAAACAGCGTTACGTTATCCACTACCGCAATCTGCAGCAATGTATACATCACGGCCTTCCCGTAACGAAGATCCATCGCGTGTTACAATTCGCTCAATCCGCCTGGCTCCGTAATTATATCGAATTGAACACAAAATTTAGAACTTTGGCTAAGAATGATTTCGAGAAAAATTTGTACAAACTTATGAATAACGCGGTATTCGGTAAAACGATGGAGAACGTACGCGATCGCGTCGACGTGAAATTAGTAACTGCATGGGACGGACGGTACGGCGCGGAGGCAATGATCGCAAAACCGAATTTCCATAGCCGCAGCGTTTTTACGGGAAACTTAATCGCCGTCGAATTGTGCAAACTCGAGGTGAAATTCGACAAGCCGATATACGTAGGTATGTGCATACTCGACATATCTAAAGTCTGCTTGTATGAATTTCATCATGAGTATATGGTACATATGTTTAATAAAAATTGTAAAATTATGTACACCGACACAGACAGTCTCATTTATCGCATCGAATGCGACGACGTGTACGCGGCGATGAAACGCGATATCGCTCGATTCGATACGAGCGACTATCCTGCGAACAACGTGTACGGTATGCCTCTCGCGAATAAGAAGGTGCCCGGCCTTATGAAGGACGAGAACAACGGCGCGATAATGACCGAGTTCGTTGGACTCAGAGCGAAGATGTACGCGTTGCGCGTAGACGGGAAGAAAGACACGAAGAAGGCAAAGGGTGTAAAGAGCAGCATCGTAACGCGAACGATAACGTTCGACGATTACACCCGATGCTTGAACGAGGAGATTGAAATGACGCGCAGGCAGTCGTGTATAAGGTCGAAGTTACACCAAGTGTACACGGTGTCGGAGAAGAAAATCGCTCTGAGTCCATACGACGACAAACTGTACGTCATACCGGACTCAACGGAGACGTTACCGTGGGGACATTATCGGATACCATTATAATATAATATAGTTTGCGATTTTTAGACTTTAATTTTTTATATGTATTTCTTTATACTTTAATTTTATATGTATTTTTAGATTTAGCATTTTTATATGTTTCTTTTTTATTCTTTACATTTTTTTTTTTATATACAGTTTATATATGTATTTTATATTTTTTTTAAACATTAACATACTTTTTAGTTTATATGGATTCTATATATTAATGTACTTTTTTTATATGTATGTATGTATGTATGACTTTTATATTCAGTATTATATCTAGTACTATTATATTGTAGTTATACGTAATTATACTAGCGTTATATGAATCTTACAGTACTTAAATCTTATATATGTTAAAAATAATTACATGTATGTGAAGGAATAAATAAAAAATAAAAAACAATGATATTCTTATACTTTTATATATTTTTTATATGAATAAACAAATTAATTCAAACGACATATTGTTTATTTATCCACGAATTGTGCGATCCATCGAATCCCTGCCACTTGACATACACCTTGTCTCCTTTCTTACGCAACACCTTTTCAACTAGATATACTTCGGGATTAGCGACGCGATGTAACTCGTACTCGTAGAATCCTCCTGCAACTGGTTTTTCGCGGTAATCTTCCAGAAGATACGTCACAGGATTAGTTTTCTGTACTTTGACGATTCGAAACACCTCCGTGGTCCAATTTGGTGTGTAACCCTTCTCAAAGATCGTCTTGAATTTGCTCATGCGTACCGAGTCACCAACTTTGAATTTTGCGGGACCAGCGATCTTTATTGCATTGTATACCGTACCCAAGAGTCTTTCGGCGATAGCGGGGGTTACGTCAGCAGGTCGCATGCCGATGGTGCGATGCTTGCGCGTGTTGTAATCTGACACGAGACGCGGCAGCATGTTGATCCATTTATAATTTCCATTGTGCGTAAATTGTTTCCACATGTCGTTTTTCAACGTGCGATTGAACCGTTCGACGACCGACGCCTTCATTACGGAATACGTTGAATAATGATTTATGTTGCGCTCCTTCAGGAGTTTTTGCACGTTTGCGTTGTAAAATTCTTTTCCCATATCGGTTTGTAAATTTTTCGGACATCTTCCATCACCTCGAATTATCTCAGTGATCGCTATAGCCATCTCATTTCCACTCTTGGTTTTGAGCGGTAAGGCCCACGCATACTTGCTCAACACATCGATGACGGTGAGAATGTAGTGATATCCTTTGTTGAATCGTGTGTAAGGACGCATCTCGACCACATCAGCCTGCCACAGGTCATCGTATCCCCGTACTATGACACATCTGCGTGGAAAATTTTTTCTCGCTGGAGCGTGCAATTCTTCTACCAGTTGCCACTTTTCGAGATTTTTCTTCTCAGACATTTTTTTCTTTTTTTATTTTATTCTTGGTATAATGTGTAAAATGTCACAAAGATCTTACGCAAACGTTGTTGATCGATACTTCAGTGTCGACTAAAAGACGACTGCATATCCCATTTCAATTTATAATAAGCCCAGCTTCACGAAGTTCCTCGATAATGGATAAAATTTCGTTATCGTGAGCGTTGTGACCCGCTTGACGAGAAGCCTCGAGCAATCGGAAGCGATCCACGAGCTCGTTAGGATCGTCCCAATGAACATAATCGATTTTATTGTCGTTTAGTGTCATCTCGATTGGTATCACACCCTTTCCAACTCTTTTACCTGACTTGTCGTTTAGGTTTCTGGCGCATGGTATACCTGTTCCAACTTGCCTTTTACCTGATACTACGGGTGCTATTATATTCTTATATTTGTACCCTTTGTTACCCAATATTGGATTATCTGCATTATGACTGCGTCTATGAGCATTTGTTGCCAACAGTATACTTTTATACGCTAATTTGTCATTCTCTGTGTAAATTGCGTCATCGGGAATTCTTTTAAAAATTAATTCGTACAATCCAGGTGTACCTTTGTACTTTACACCATCTATGATCACAAAGTCATTCGTGTCTATATCGAACCGTTTGTTATCGAGCATCGTGCCATTCTCGTTGAGATATATACCATAAACGCGATCGATCGCCTTTTCTCTGTCGCCACCGAGAAGCATGTTTACGTATTTTTGTCCAAGTGGTCCCAATTGATTATTCAACTCCTCACGAAATTGTCGCGTTTGCAAAGATTGTTCAACTAATGTTTCAAGCGGTTCATTCGGCGTTTCATAAACGTCTTCGACTGTGGGTACGTGCGAACGTTCGTACGATAATTTACGCGGTTCAGACGATGCATAATTGGATGAATCCAACGTAACGTTCGATTTTTTCATACGTTGCTTTGACGGTGTTAATTGAAGCCATGCATTATCCATCCAGTAATTATCATCATCATCATCTTCTTAAAATTTTCTTTTTTTAGTATTTTTATACTTCGTAACGTTGACTTCTTTCTTAATCGGTTGAGATTCCTCGCCAGCAGCAGTGTTTTCGACAATCTGTTTTAGAGGTTCGACGACAGGTTTAAAGTGTTTCTCCAATGCTATATCTTTGTCTATTTTGCCTGTTTTTAAAGCGCGATGCTTTTTACGAATCGAATCACTCGTTTTCGCGATTTGTTTCGCTATTCTCTCGCGATCCTTGAGCTCTGTGCTGCTATCCATGTTGCACTTGCGCGGGAGAACGTTGCGTAGTTGACGTATCGACAACGACTGACTGCGTTACAGCATCGCAAACTCGTTAAATCCTCTTCTGTACCTCCCCTTTGTAAGCGCACTGTCCTTGTCTATAACTACGAATCCATACTTTTGTTGCCAACATTTGCGACACAACGCGCAAAATTCATCGTACGACATGTCGGTATTCACGTGATCGTTGTAAACATGTTTCAAGTTGGTACCATCCTGCTTGAACAGAATCAGCAGATTCGCGTTGTCGCGTATCAGATGTTTAGGTATCCTCGCGTACGTCTGACAGAGATAGAAGCAGTCGACGTTCGCGTGACGACCCATCGAAAAGTACTCTCGCACCGCGTTCTGTTTGCCACGTCGTCGAATACAAAAATGGAATTCGGTAGTGCCTCGTTCGGTGGAACGACATCGCTGTTGTTGGAGAATGTAAAGTAGCCGATTTCGTCGATGGACGTCAATAAATTTTCAAGATATCTGTACTTTGACTGTTGCAGTGATTTCGAATAGACATACACGTTCTCGAAACGTACGCCGTTGGGGCTCTCAAGCAAGCTTATCAGCACGTTCGTCTTGCCACAGTTTGACGGGCCGCAAACGATTGCGCGTATAGTATTCGGTAGCATTTCACCGTGCTTGCGCTTATTCGCGTCGTCCCGCATCATTTGCAACTTCTCGTCGCAATTCATGACGCGTATTGTCAGTGAAGACTGCACAAATTTCATGTTCGCACTACAAACTACTCGCAGTCTCAAACGCCTATTTATAGGCGCGCAAATCCGCGAATCGGGCAGTAGTAAAATGTATTTCGCGCTGTATCACCGTTCTTCCGACATTCGAGAATTGAGCGCTGAGCATTTGCAGTATATACCGAAGATCGTACTGTTACAAGTGTGCGGCGATTATATCGACTACGTGTGGGACAAACTGCCTGAGCACATAAGAGCCGATTCAGAGGTTCAACGGTACTGCCGGTGTCTGAAGCATTACAACTTGCCGAGTCAGCAAACGCACATCGACGGTCCCGCACCGAAGATACGGGATTGCGGCGAATGTCAGCGAAGGGCTTTTTAAATCACGCGATAAACGCACTTCCGATCGAGTTGCATATCCCTGGGTATCAATTTTGCGGTCCAGGAACACGTTTAGTGAAGCGATTAGCTAGAGGCGATCGAGGCATTAATCCGTTGGACGCGGCTTGTCGCGAACACGACATAGCTTATT